CATTTCAATTAAAGAACTGAAGACATCATTAGAAAATGAACAATATGTATAATATCAAAGCAATCGAAAATATCACTTTTTACCAAAAATGACAAAAATATTCACCGAAATTAGAAAATTAAAGATATCATCATGAAATAAACAAATCTGAGAAAAGTCCACATGTAGTATCTATATATGTAATATCAAAGCAATTGAACTTGCGGTTTTTAAAAAGAAGTCAAAAATATCACTTTTTACCAAAAATGACAAAAATATTCACCAAAATTAGAGAATTAAAGATATCATTACAAAATGAACAAATCTGAGAGAGATCCACATGTAGTACCTATATATGTAATATCAAAGCAATTGCACTTGCGGTTTTTAACAAGAAGTCGAAAATATCACTTTTTACCAAAAATGACAAAAATATTCACCAAAATTAGAGAATTGAAGATATCAACATGAAATGAACAAACCTAAGAGAGATCTACCCAAGGTACATATACACCAAGTATCAAAGCATTCAGGCTTGTAGTTTTCAAGAAGAAGTTGAAAAAGTAAAACATTGACACGGACAATCACTCATATGATAAGCTCCGCTCGACAAAGTCGACAGCGAAGCTAAAAATATGTACAAGTGTAAGAATATGACAACTGGAACTTACATAAATTTCCATTTTTCTGTACAGTCCATAGTTGAGTAATAAATTGTGTGTCATTCGTATACGATGTGGTTTCATTGGATGTCCCTGTCCGTAGTAGTAATTGCCAACATCACCTGTGAAAAATGCACATGAATACGAGTTACACGTAACTACTGAACAGGATCATCAAGTTTTGACCGATTTTTTTTCAACAAGAGCTGCAAGTAAACATAATGAACAATGAAATTTTATATTTTTGGAAAAAAATTGAATTTTACCAGGACTTACAATCAAACTACAACATCATTAAATATGTATAACATAAACAAGCAGCCTGTTGGCTGAGATAGCTCAGCTGTTAGCAATGCACATTTCAATTAAAGAACAGAAGATATCATTAAAACAAGCAGCCTATCGGCTGAGATAGCTCCGCTGTTAGCAATGCACATTTCAATTAAAGAACTGAAGACATCATTAGAAAATGAACAATATGAATAGTATCAAAGCAATCGGACTTACAGTTTTTAACAAGAAGTCGAAAATATCACTTTTTACCAAAAATTACAAAAATATTCACCAAAATAAATTAATTAGAGAATTGAAGATATCATCACAAAACGAACAAATCTGAGAGAGGTCCACATGTAGTACCTATATATGTAATATCAAAGCAATCGGACTTACAGTTTTCAACAAGAAGTCGAAAATATCACTTTTTACCAAAAATGACAAAAATATTCACCAAAATTAGAGAATTGAAGATATCATCACAAAATGAACAAAT